GTAGTAGTAGTAGTAGTAGTACACAAAGTGGGGGGGTAACCGTATTCTTTCTATAGCTATGCTTGCTACTACTAGTATGTTATATGGGGGTACCTCAGGCTTAAGGTTTAGGGCATCATTTTGAAATCTGTGTTGATCAGAAGGCTCACGGCAGGGCCCCGATGTAGACCCTGCACCACAACCATTGGATGCAAAACCCTCGAGCCCCCCAAAAACAACTTCAGCCCAAACCCTCGCGCCTCAACTCCCCGAACTCTGACTCTCTAGAAGGGTGCCCGAAGTTCCCAAAACCCCACACGTTAGCTATACTGAACTTAGACCCCTAGCAAAAATTATAATTTTAGCTGCTTCTTAGGGTTTATAGTAGCCAAAGATTAGAAATTATTTCTAAGTACCCCTAAGTTAGATCCTGGAGCCAAAAGACGAGCCGGTGTCGGTGACCACGCGAAAAGGATCCTCACCTTCCTGGTCGGGCACGCAGTCGGTCAAGTTGAGCTCCATCAACTTGGCAGCCGTGGGCGGCTTGGGGGTTTGGGGTTTCGGGTTGCCCAAGTTTCCGGGGGGCTTAAAGCAGGTATGCGAACTTTTCAATGTCTTATTTGAACTTCTTGGCAAGGCTTCAGGGGCAGTTCTAGAACATAGGGTTTCGGGGCGCTTTGGGCATTCAGGCCATACAGCTTCCGTTCTCAAGTGTTTGATAGCTAAGGGTTGAAGCAGCCAGTGCCCAGAACCGCACAGATCCCCCCCACAACCTCTGGGGTTTTCATCGCTGCCAACACTCAACATTAACCCTTTGAGCAAACCCTGTAAACCCCTACCAACCACCACCCTAAACCCTAAACCCTAAACCCTAAGTCCTAAACCCAACCACCACGCAAAAGAGAAAAAAGGCTCCCCTGTGGTCCTGCCCGGGCCTAAACCCTAAACCCTAAACCCTAAACCCAAAAAGGCTCTCCTGCATTCCTGCCCGGGCGCATACTGCATCTCGTAGTCGAAGTTGATCCGTCGGTTTCCCTCCTGGCTACAAATTTGCCCACCTTCCGCGGCGCATGCGTCATCGCAGCTCAGACCTCAGGTGGGGTTTAGAGTTTAGGGCTTAGGGGTTAGGGTTTAGGGTTTAGGGCTTAGAGTTTAGGGCTTAGGGTTTAGGGTTTAGGGAAGTTTTGGAGCTTATGGCTTAGAGCTAATGTTTGGGATTAGGGTTTAGGGTTTTAGGGAAGTTTCGGAGCTTATGGCTTAGAGCTAATGTTCAAGGCTCTAGGGCTCAGAGTGCCACCTACCTGGTAGGATCCCGGAGAACGCACAGCACGGTGCAAAACCACAGCCATACATTACACCCCAAACACGAGTGAAGGGCCCTCATGGTTTAGGGTTTAGGTGTTTAGGGGGTTTCGGGTTTAGGGTTTAGGGTTTTTGATGCAGTAAAACCCGCACCCCCCCCCCCTTCAAACTGGTTTGAAGATGTGGACACCTGTCCCCAAAATGTCCACAAGGTAAGTTCTTCTTTCTTGGTTAGGACAGGACCTCCTTGTGAGGATAGTTAATATGTGTTCCAGATCCCCCACACAACTCCAGAAACTCAAGCCCTGAAACCCTCAACCATGGAACTCTGCAGAACCTGAGCATTTCCAAACGGCAGAAGAGTGGTAGAGTCTAGAGCTCAGGGATTACAACATGTCTACTGGACCCAAAACTTGCAAACAGACCCCAGTAGGTGACAACAGGAGTCCGCGACGACAACAATCAAAGCCCTCAAAGACCTACCTCCGCTGAAGCTTACATAATCAAAATTATGGTCCCTTTTGGGTCCTTATAATAATACGGCGCCTATTATTTAAGGGTACCCCAAAAAGGTACCATAATTTTGACAACTACCCATAAGGATTAGGGTTTGGGCTTACGGGGTTGCGGGTTTGGCTCAGCGCCTGGGGTACCCATAAACAGGGCTCGAAAGCCTCAACCTGCAGCCTGGAAGCCAAGACCTCTGAAACATAGCCCTAAACATTTAGGGTTTTGGGTTTAGGGTTTAGGGTTTAGGGTTTAGGGTTTAGGGTTTAGGGTAAGAAGAAGCTCTAAACCGTCGTTTAGAGTTTAGGGTATAGGGCTTAGGGTCTGAACCTTCGTGAAAACAAGCCCTAAACCCCCAAGCCCCTACACGCTCGCTCAACAATTGGAGGGCAAACCACAGTACAATTTGGGATTTAAGCTGCACAGACTAGAACAGGATCGTTTGGCAATTCCCAGAATCAGGTCCCACTTGAGATCATGTCGCTTGGGGAGACCCAAGAACTTAGGTAGATACCTACCGTATCCACCTATACTCTAAACCCTAAACCCTAAACCCTAAACCCAAGCACTTAGATAGATACCTACCCTATCCAGTAAACCCTAAACTCTCAACTCCTATGTGGCCCGGATGCCCGCTGCTCCTTTGAGCCATCCGGCATGGACCGGTCGTAGCAGCAGAAGCCTTGGGAGCTGGTTGTCAGCGGCTTCTGGGCGGAAGGGGGGTTAGCCTTCAAGGGTCCTATTGCGGCTTTGGTTAGGGGCTTAGCGTTTTAGGGTTTAGGGT